AAAAAAAAAAATAACATTGAAAAACAAAAATAAAGAAATAAAATAAAATAAAAAACAATAAGAACAAAACAATAATAACATACAAAAAACAGCAGTAAAAAATAAAACAACAATGAAGGCAAAAAACATAAAAAAGCGAAATAAAAAAAAATAAAAAAAAAAACAGGGTGGCAGCATGTCCGCGACGAAAGGGCTCGCCAACTCAGTTTGAGCTGGGCACAGTAAGTACCCAACACTGGTTTTCAGTTGGCACCCCTGCAGTGACGCACGGACGGAAGCAACGAAGAATAATTTTAAGGAAAATAAAATAGTTACATAAGACACATGTTAAAAAATATAATGATAATAATAAAATAAAAGGAAGAATAAAAACAGACCTCTAAGTATGTACATTGTGCGATAAATAAATGAATAAAAATGAGTATGCATACATAAACAAGTGTAACGTGTACCGTCACCGAAGGAAAAAAATAATAAAAATAAAATAAATTTATAAACTGTATCACGACAATAAAATTAGTGTGGGAATGTCGTGAAGCCACCGCGCAGCCCGACACTCATTGCGCGAAGTTGAAGCGAGAGACAGGTCGGTACTTCGCCAGCACTGCGGCAACAAGGGGCCCAAGGGTGAGTTTTCGAGATATGCTACATTACAATAATACTGAAGTTAATAAATAATTATATAAATAAATCAATATGAAAATGTGAAAACATAATTTGTGTACCCAGTTAAACAAAAAAGAAAAAAAAATATATAAGAAAGATAAGTGTTAGATTAAATAAACGAAATGTCAATATTTATAGATTCATTCTCAATTTGAGAATTAATAATAAACTCCTTGAGTTTTCGTTTAAAAGTGAATGGGCTTAGGGACCCTTTCAAATTATTGCCAGAGCAAAAATATTAACTTTGTAAGTTTTATCGTAGTTTAAAGTGGTGTACTATATATAGTACGGCAGGCGCTAATGGGTTAAATTATTTCTTTGCGGTCCCTGTGTCTATTTTATGAAAAAGAATGCAGGTAGATAAGTAAAACTAGTAGGTACATAAAAGTATTTAAGTACTGTAATTATAATCTGTCTTCGTCTTAGAGAAATGATTCACGTTGAGTTCGTGAATTAATGCTTTCTTTTAAAACCGAAACAAGGTCTTCTTTTTCCAAATTATTGTCTTCCTTTTTCTTCTTCGATCTTGGTTGTCCTTGAGATACTGATTCGGGGGTGGGAAGGACTATATTTTCCGTATCATTTAAGTTTGATTCTGTTGTATTCGGTTCTACCGTATCTTTAAGGAACATCAGGTTTTGAAAGTATACATAGGGAGATTTACGTTTCGCTGCAGCACCACTTTTTGCGCCTTTGACACGTCGTAGCTCCCTGAGGAATGAGTCCCTTATATTTTTCCATTTTTTTTGGAGTGACTTACCTGAAAATAAAAAAAAGTTATCATAACGTGTTTGTTTGTTCCAGATACCTAGCATCTGGATGCTCCTTCAGAGAACTAAATCATTCATTTCGCATTGGACACACAACTATTCGAGAAATTGTACTTGAGGTCTGCGTCGCCATATGGCAAAATATAAAAGACATTGCCTTTCCACAGCTCAATAGAGACAAATGGCTAGAAATAAGTGAAGGATTCAGGAAGAGTTCGCAGTTTCCTAACTGTATTGGAGCTGTGGACGGAAAGCACATAAGAGTCATTCAGCCGACCCATACAGGGTCACTATATTATAACTACAAAAACTATTTCTTTCTATTTCTTTTGTGCTGATGGCTATATGCGATGCCAACTACAAATTTATATGCATAGACGTCGGCGCATATGGAAAATGCAACGATTCGTCGGTATTCAAGAACTCCCATTTTTATGTAAAACTTACAAATAATAATTTAGACATACCAGACAAAAGACCGATAACTGAAACAGGTGTGCCTCTGCCTTTTGTCATAGTTGGCGATGAAGCATTCTCTTTGTCAGAAAATATAATGAGACCATATGCCGGAAGAAATTTGACAGACAAGAAAATAATTTTTAACTACCGCCTTTCCCGTGCACATAGAATGTACTTTCGGGATATTAGCCAACAAGTGGCGAATTTTTCATCGTCCTCTTGACGTACACAGAGAATTTGCTAGGGGTGTCCACTTTGAAAAAACATCGATGTTTTTTTCGATTCGATATATCGAAACTGTACATCGATTTCTTTCGATGTATTGGAAGAAAACATCGATGTTTTGTATAAATCGAGTACTTTTTAAAGATTTTTTATAATCCACTAATTTAAGCATTGTATTATTAAAAAAAAACAGTAAAAGCCATACATGAGAAAAATCTTTATTATATATTAAAGTAAGAACAAAAAAAATATTGCATTTATTTTTATAAGTTAGTTTTATCCTATTTCCAGTGTTCTTTTGGAAGACTTTGTAAAAACAACAGTTTATTTAAACGTTTGCCTTTCAGCCTATTTCTTTGTTGATTGACGACTTGTGCTGCTTTAGAAAACAAACGTTCAGATGGGACTGAAGTGCCTACCATAGTCAAGTATTTGTATGCAATTGAATGTAGTTTAGGAAGCTGAATCTTAAGATCATTCCAAATGACAATGACCAAATTTGTATGGAGCGTGGTGCCTTTTAATTTTTTCGCGGCAGTTGATCAAATGTGGATAAACTGATGCAGAAAAACATTACAAACAAAAAAATGTATAGGGTCTTATATCAAAAACACAGTCCGAACCGAGTTAAGTCAGTTCAAAGATATGAAAATAGTGGTATATTATTCCTGTTATTTTGTTGATGGTGACCGTACACAACACATATTTCTTCATTTACTTGTCAGAAATATTTAGTAATTAATGTTTATAAACGATTTCAAGGAATATAGTAAAGCTTGTTGTGGGCTTATTTCTTTTTTTTATTTTTTTTTTTTTTTTTGTTATAAGGCCAAGGAATCAGAACAAAGTGAACCATTAACTGGCCAATGCTGAAATAAAAAAAAAACATTTCGCTTGATTGGCTAGCGTATTCACTTTATATGTATAGGGTTTAAGGCCTATGACAGATTTTCATGATCAATTTCCTCTCAGTCGAAAACCCGCAAAATACTTTACTGAGCCTTATCATAAAATGCTATGTTCGTCAACTGAGGCGTCGGTAGCGGATACACGAAAAAATCATTTTTCTGTCTACTTCTCCCGACTTACTTCCGATTAGTAACTAATCTAACTACAGTTCATACTTATAATACAGTTAATAATCTATATCTAACATAAGATTCTGTACAAAGATATCGTCATTCAGTCACCAAGTGATGGATTATATTTCGACTGATCTGACTGACTTATATGAAAAAATTATGCGCTCATCTGACGTATAGTCCATCACTTTACAAAGCCGACGGTTTCCTTTCTTGAAAATATAATGCTAACTATAAAGTAGATGAGTCTACCACCAGGAGTCAAAGGCAAAAAAAAAACTTTTAGATTTTTGGACGGCTGCCACTACTCAACCCACCACTGGTACCTCAGCTGACGCTCATGGAGCTTCATGACACAACTCCTAGAAGCATCCCACAAATTATCGACTGAGAGAAAATAGCAAATAAAAATTAGTGCATAGCAATATGGATATATTGTGGTGTAATATGGTGTTCCTGTGCCCGTCGTACAGTGGCGCGCAATTTGAAGTTAGGAATTGTGACAAAAATATGAATAATTTGAATAAAAAAACCAAAGTAAAATGTTTGACTTCAGCTCTTTTCGACGCTCATAACTCAGTCCAGACTGAGATTTCCATATATGAGCCCATACACAATTTCGTTTGTAATGTCATTCTAGATAATATTTTCCATAAATCATCGACTGCCGCCAGAAAAAAGAAAGGCACCAATTTTAGTCAATGCCCTTTCTAAAGGGTTTTCACTTAATCTGGCTACTGGGCTACGCAAGTAAATCGATAGTTCATCTGAAATAGAATCGTCAGATTGTACCGTTTTCCAGCTCTTATGAACTAATTTGTGGTGATCATCCCACAGTGAAAATTTTTTTTCTGGTTTTTCAGAATTATCTGAAGAATCAGATTCCACGATCTCGTTTTGTACTCTACTTTTCATCATTTCCTTGATTTTTGAAACAGCTGTAGAGCAAGTGAGCGGGTCTGTGAAATGCATTTTCTTAAACCTGGGGTCCAAGATTGTGGCTACAGCGAAAGGTGTTACTCTCTCTATAGCGCCCATTCTCTTATCAATCTCTTTCAAGACCAATGCCTGCAATTCTTGGGCAAGAGATTCTTCGACTTTAAGAGGTTTAACTTTTAAAAGAAGACAATGAATAAGGGGTATTACTTTACTGCTAGTGCAGTACTTGTCACCTGATACTTCCTTAGTTGCAGCTTCAATCGGTCGCAGGATTTGTAAAACCGAAGAAAGAACAGATAATTCTGACGCAGTTAGCATCGGTGGTGCATTTTTATGACGAATTATTATATTATTGACGACGGTGCGAAGCTCCAAAAATCGCTCGATCATGTAATAACTACTGTTCCATCTCGTTGGGACCTCTTGGATTAATTTTGTTTCTTTCTCGGTTGCTTTACGTAGCTCATTACTAGCTACATTGCTTTGTTTGAACCAAGTCACTATTTCTTTTAGTTTGGTTATTAAGTTTCGCAGATCAGCACACTGCTGTATAGCATTTTGTGCAACCAAATTCAACGTGTGAGCAAAACATGGTATATGCTTTTTTCCAAAAGCTAAATCAACAGCTTTTACCATGTTAGCTGCGTTGTCTGTGACTACAGCTGAAACTTTGTCATTATCTATATTCCATTCAGTACAAGTGTTCAACAGCATGTCAGATATGTGTTCTGAAGTATGACGATCGTTTGACTCGTAAACTCCAAGAGTTATTGCAAAAATATCATTACCTTCACCAAAGTGGGCTGTTATTCCTAAAAAACTTCTCATACTCATTGTTTCAGACCACATGTCAGTAGTAAGAGTAACATGTACAATATTTGCCAACTTAGCTTTGAAGACTGTTGATAATGCTGCGTATTTATCATCAACCCATCGTGTCAACGTTGTTTTACTAGGAAGTTTATAATGTGGCGCAAGAACTTTAATCAAACTGGCAAAGCCTTCATTTTCAACAATTGTAAATGGTTGGTTGTCTTTACATATCATATATATTAGGGCGTTGTTTATTCTTAACGTTTTATCGCCTCTCTCTGAAAAAGCGTATATATCTTGAAAACTTGTCACAATAGATTTCTGACGTTTTGGAGCTGGAGGAATAGAAACACATACATCGTCTTTTGAAGAGTCACATTTTTTTTCAGCATTACTAGTCAGTTCCATTGTCATTATGCCAGCGGAGCTCGTTGATGGGAGTGGATCAGAGATATTAGGATCTAATGATAAGTGTGTATTTTTCTTAACGGTGTTGCTCTGAATATCATTTTTTTTCGAACATTCATTACTGAACTCTTGATAAGCAGCCTTATGTATATTTTTCAAATGACCAATTAAATTAGTTGTGTTGCCACAAGATTTTATAAATTTTTGACAGAGTCTACATTTTGCTGAATTTTTATTTTCTTCAGTTTTATCAAAGAACCTCCATACATCGCTCTTCTGAGACGGTGCGATGACTCACATCCGCGGATGCGGATGCGGATCTGTACAAAAAACTTATCTGTGGGTTTGTTAGGGTAAAAAAAACAGTAATATTTATTCTATCTTTATTTAACCTTTCAAGTATCGTAATTACAGACACAATTAAATAACAATAGGTGTGAAGACAGCGGCATACTTGCGGTGTTTCACAATTCACAGTTTCATAAAAAAGTTGTGAGAGAATCGGCTTAATTATTTTGATTAATAATCAAATTTAAATAAAGGAGCATTGTATTTAATAAAAAGTAGAATGGCCGCCTTTTCGGACTCCAGTCTGTTTCGCAAGGGTGTGTATATTAATCCTGCTTCACTAAATAATTGTTCACTTGGAACACTGGCTGGTGGAGCTGATAAAAATTTGCGTGCTATTTGAGACAGCAGTTTTAACTCGCATTGATTAACACTCCACCATTTAAGAGGATTCTCGTTTAAGCTGATTCGCTTCTTATTGCGGAAACTATGTAACTCTTTCTTGAGCATTGCGTCAGGGCTGACAATTTCTGGTGTTTCCCAACTCTCATCGTCACTTGATGAATCAAGCATCTTGGCAAGATCACTGATTAAACAGGATTTACGCCTTGTACCTGAGGTCCCTGGTTGTTCCGTATCTATTTCCATGGAATCTGTCATTCTCATTTTCTTCACTCTTGGAGATATTGACCGAGAAACCAAAATGTCTTGGGTGTTTCTGCAAATTTTCAATATTTCCTCTTTAATCCTTTCCTCGGATACTGATGTAAAAAATTTGTTCTTATAGCGAGGATCTAAGTAAGTGGCTATGACATATAAGTTATCCTCTTCCAACAAGGTGGAAAATTTTCCTGAAATTTCAGCTTTTAAAGTTGTGGCTGCATGGTAAATTGGAGACACCGGTGTAGCTGCCAAGTAGTCACTAACTTTTTGCGTAAGCATTCGAATTATTGAAATCACTGATGAAATGAGAGTTTGAGAACTGCTAAGTTCACGTGTGGCTTCTTCAAAAGGTTTCAACAGATCAACCAAACATTCTATGATCTTCCACTCTTCTGGTAAAATAAGGTCAATCTCGCTGTCATTTATGTAAAGGCTTAAGGCATCTTTTACTTTCAAAAAACGGTCTAACATATAAAAAGTACTATTCCATCGTGTGACACAATCTTGAAAAACTTTGAGATTTGGTTGGTTGAGCCTGTCCTGGATTTTGTGCAGTTGTGTTTGGGCTATAGTAGAATGGTTAAAATGCATGGATATTTTTTTACATTTTTGTTTGGTACCCTTTATATTTTCTTGTGAGTTTAAACAACTTCGGATAGCAAGTTGCATCATATGAATTGCACAATCCAAGTCTTGGAATTTTGCCAATCGCATCGCCCTTTTCATATTGGAGCCTTCGTCTCGAATCATGCAATGCACTTGATCACTTGAGATATTCCATTCCGTCAGCGCCACTCACTATAGCGTAAAATGTTGTATGCGGTAACACTTCCTAATAAAATACAGTAAAAACAAACGTGCGCGTCAAATCTTGTCACATTCAAAACCAAATCACAACAAACAATAGCGAGCGAGGCACGCGCGTCTCCGTCGCCGATGCACCGATGTCCAATCAAAACAAAATTATTGCTATCCTATTGGCCAATGAGCACGTGCGGTGCGGCGTCACACGCCCCTCCCTTTTCTTTCTTGTCGCGACCTGCTACACATTCGCATCCGCATCACCTCCGCATTGGTTTATGCGGATGCGGATGCAGATGCGGATGTCTAATTCGATGCGGATGTTCCGCATATGCGGATGCGGATGCGAATATTCGCAACATCCCTGATCGCGATAATTACAAATCACGCTGTAGCTCTACAACACGTGCGGCCGCCATGGCTAGTGCGCGCACACTGGTGATTTTACTACAATACTATAGATCTCAGTGGCCGCAGCGACCAGCGACTGAACACTGGCCGCAAACGCGCCGCTCCGATCTCGCTGGCCGCTGCGGCTAAGTGTGGCCGCTGGTCGCGTGCGACCAGGTGCGCGCGCTCTGTGGCGATTTCATACTCGCCGTTGCGTAGGCAAGCGCGACATGTGGACGGCCGAAAAATTTGCAGTCGACTTCCAAGGGTGTGTCAAGATGGACGTGCAGAAGATAATCACGCTAACTGTGCTTGTGTATTTACTACGAAAACGAAAACGGAAGATTTCACGTAAAAGACAGTTTTGGGTGCATCCATTACTTTGCGAGAGAAAGACTAAAGGATTATATTATACTTATTTTTTGGATTTAAAAATGTATGAGAAGAGATTCTTTAATTACATGAAAATGTCAACGAATACTTTTAACCTGTTACTGGATACAATAAAACCAAAAATTACTGGAACTGGTAACAACTATCGGAAATGCATTCCAGCAGAAGAAAAATTAGTAATAACAATAAGGTAAGCTTTTTCTTTTTTAAATACAGAATGTTTAAAAAATACGTGATATATTTTAAAGGGTGTTTCGGAATGGAGTATTGTGTACAGGAAAAATAAAAATAATGTGATAGGGCCTTTTTTTACTTAAACTGCTAAATGGATTTTTTGTAAATTTGAATTATACAAGACTCGTTTCTGAATCGCCCTAAACCACCACTGTTGTGTTTTTCACAACAACCTGTAAAATTCATTGACCAAGGTTTTGCCACTTTAAAAAATTTATGAACTATTGTTCAGTAGTATTCTATTTTACGACTTTGAAAAGGAGAGGAAAAGGGCTTGCTTATAACATGTTTTTAAATATTAAAAAACTGAAGTAGATAATCAAATTATTTGTATTTTCATAACTTAAAAAATGGCAATTGTGAAAAATTAATCATTGAAATTGGGAAATAGGTCTATCATTTCTGAATTTTGAGAAATATCAGAATAATGAGTATGATTATCGCTGTAATTTGAATCATCTGATATCCTGTTGGTAGTAGAATAACCTGAATAACTCGGTCGATTAGGGTCATATTCTTGGTCGTTAAGAGTATTGAAATTACTTGAATAGTTTATGCGCGCTGTTGTAGGTGTACAGTTCGGTTGGTATTTTTCTATAATTTCCATGATTTCCATTTTCGCTTTGGTCTTCATTGCAGCAGGGATTGTTTGAAATCTTTCGAGGAGGGATAAAAGAAACAGTCTGTCACAATTTGAATCATTCTGTGTAGTCGCTATGGTCTTATGCAGAACTGAAATTAGAGGGTCTGTATCGGATTCTTCGTTTGGTATTTTTTTCTTCCTTTTTGTTCTAAGCGACTTTGATGCAGACTGTTGAGTCTCAAGATCAGAAGATCTTGCACTTTTATTTTCTTGACTTGCCTCTTCGAGACTATTTTCTGTTGCGTTTGTGTCCAGCACTGATTTCAAAAACAGTAATTGGTTGAAATAGG